TCACAGGTATCACTTGTAGTGTCACCTGTTGTCCCGTTGTTCGTCAAGTAACTCGAGCAGGAGGGCTCAGTGGGTTTTGCTCGCTTTAGGAACTCATCAAGCATCATATCTTTCTTCTAGGCTTTTGTGAAGAACTCAGACCATCGAGTCGGTGGTCTTCCTGCAGTGCGTTTAACATCTCTAGGAAGGAATCCAATCACTAACGGCTCTTGTTCATCGGTTGTCATTTTTTTATTAATGAGTAAAAATACCAGTTCTTCCCCGTTGGATGCCAGATCCGCGAAGAATATACCACTCACCCTCACTAGGAGCCATAGTGGATTTCTCTGTAAATAATCTTCAAAGGCAGCTATTTGTTGTAGAATGCGCCTTAAGAATGGATTTTCAAAGGTAGTGGATGGGAAATTGGTATGCAGCGTCGCAAATTGGACTGCTAGAGCTGAAGGATAGATCGATGCCTTGTCTTTGATAAGCATGTTTGCACACTTTCTGAAACTAGATAGGCGGTTAGGGATGTAAAGGGTGGAGGCGCTTCACAGAACGAATGTTGAACCTCTAACCATGTAGACGTAGAAAATGCATATCGTTAGGTGCTTCGAAATTCCAGCTATTTATGACTCAAAAGACCGACCTTCAGTAAAACTCGGCATAAATAATCGATATATTTATTTATATGTTCTTATGAACCGACCTTGTTGAGCCGATATGAGGTTGGTCCAAGTTGTCGTTGTTATTGCTGCTCCTACTACGTGTTCCACTCGCAATATCACGGCTCTGAGGGAGGCGAAATCACCGAAACGCCGGCCATCGACCAACAACAACGGCAACAAGAACAACAATAGCAACAACAACAACAACAACATATACCAACCTCCTATAAGCTGGATAAGATCACTTCAAATAAACAAATAAACAAGTATATTTCAGCTATTGTTTTTTCTGTACAATTTTTTCGTCGGCGACATCTCTGCAATTCAATCTGCATCGGTTTAGGTTGAATCATTTGGAGGGAAAATGAAAAACCATAGCATCCTCAGCAGCTTCATCGAACCATCTTGATCGAAACTTTGATCTAGATGAAATGCATAAACTTTCAGCCTATTTAAGTGCTTAAATTGCTCGTTCTCACACATTCCCAAGGTCTCAGCTTAACAATTTGCTCAAGCCGTTATGGTTGGTTTCTGTACGGACTCGGTCGCTGCCGACCGTCTATTTCAGAGTCTGCTTGACGATCTCTTATCTTCCATCGAGCTACACCACTGTCCTTCCCATACACATTTCGCCTTATACCACCTTCCAAGTTGTTTTCAGCTAGGTCTCAAAAATTAGATACTGCTCGAGGATTTGAGCTACGAGGACTGATTCATTTCCAGAAAGAGTTGCCTTTGTCCTCTTTGCTGAGCTCTATTCTCTCGATAAGCTAGAGGCACCGGCATATGTTTTTTCTCGAGAACGAAGAATAAAAGAATCTATGGGTTTAAAAATTTAAACACGTATGTAGGGATTTGCATATATGATCAATAACCTCTGCCAGAGACCCGAAGGCGACAGTGCCACTCCTACTGAAGATTCTGCCTTGTTTTTTCTTCGTGTTCGTTATACTTACTTGATACTTGAACGGCCTGTCCTCACTGGCTGCGCTGGGGCCAACATAATCACCATTTTTAGAAGATTTGCTGGTTAAGCCATTGTGGTTCCCTGAAATCCCGAGGTCAGCCTGGCCAAAGTCTGCCTCAGGTCTTCACCACCACGGGTAGTCGTAGCTCTTGTGGATCAGAGGGAGATTTGTTACCATGCGCCTTTGATGCCAGGACAGTGGTGGATTCTGGCATTGGTTTACTCCTAGCTAGACTTCCTAATGGGAACGCCGAATTCCTTCTCAACTTGGAACACCCTGCCGGGTGGACGAGTCTCCTCGCTGTACATCGAAGCCCAACACCCAGGAACACCTCCCAGCCACGATGACGCGGTAAACCGTTGGGATGTCGTGCTTGTTATTCTTTCAATAATTTAGCTTAATTGTCTAGAAGAAATTTCTGATATTTTAAATATCCTGTTAAATGCAACCACAACGTTGGTGAGATATTTGCAAAACTTCGGACCGCAGGTGCTTGCGGTGGGGAACAAATGCGCTATCAGCCATTCCTGGGGCTAATGCGTTCACCACCGTGCCATGCGGCTCCTTCGTTTCGCCTGTCTCTCAGCTAGTTCTATCGATATCCTGTTAAAGTCATACGTTTTTTTTAGCTAGTAGATAGCACGTTTTAGATCCTATATCAGAAAATTTTAACCCAAGGTACCTCTGTCCCAGTTTCTTCATAGGGCTCCAACGTCTTCATCTGGCTCGTGCTCCAATCACAGCAAGTTCTCATACGCCATCACACTGAATGATTCTTCCGAATCCTCGGATAAAGCCGCCAAAGGGTCGATATTTCTGGATTTTTTACCACTTTCGGGTCATTCTTCAGCTGAAATTAACCTCTGCAGAAAGGGATCAGGCGAAAGCACGACAAGGTTGCGGGGAGATGTGCCGAGCATATTGGAACCAATACAAGTTGAACGAGCGAGTGGTGGAAAAGTAGAAGACGACTCGAGTGAGGTGGGAAAAGAGGAGAAAACAAAAGAAGAAGCTTTCAAATGCTTGAAATCACTACAATAAGGGGCGTATGAAAGATAGTAAATAATAAAAAGTGGAAAAGCAAATAGACGTAATTGCGTAGGATAACAGCGGACACCATTCATAAGAAATGAAATGCCTACCGTTAACTTTTGAGCGAAGGAGGAATGAAACAACTAGAGAGTAGCGNGCACATGGGAAATACGCAGGTATAAGCTAGAAATTCGCGATTTCTTCATTATCAGATGAAGCACCCAAGTTATACGCTAGTACCTTTTCCATCACAGGAACACGAGGAAACACCGTGCTATTAAAACAGACCTAGTTTGCTGTCCCTTACCTATTCATGTTTAATATGTCTTTTTATCCCGCGGGAGAACTAAGTGCAGTTGTGTGCCCCAAGTTGAACGACGTCTCACAACGTAACAAGCCGTTATGGTGAGTCGTAAATTCAACTGCAGGGTGGCCGTTCGGAACAATCGCCAAGAACTTGCCAACATCGCTCACTTGTTTATAAAACGCCAGTGCCTAGTAGAGCTAGAATGATAATTTTTTGAAACATTTCATGAATACAAATGGAACGGGACACTCAACAAAGCGTCTCTCTCTGACGAATAGATCAAAACCTCGGCGCACTACGTTTGCCAAGCCATGCGAATTCGAAAACACCTTGAACACTTTCAGCTTGTGCATTCAATCTTGACCAAGTCATCGTCTCGCTCAAACCGAAGAGAAATTCAAGATCAACTCGACGAGTTGATACGGCGGCACATGATGTATGAGGAAGAGCATAAATTCACGATCTTACTCTTCGATGCCCAAACGTACGTCACAACTCGTTCGTCTTTGCGCATTCTTTCGACTTAATAATGTGCCAAGACATTTGATCTTAATGAGCAATTTCCCTTAACGATTTACTCTGACCAGGAGGTTATTCCCAGTGTAGCACTCCTATGTAGAGCAGGTTCTTCTCCAGTAGTAGGGTATTCCTAGCTTTAGAATAGTCGAAGTTTTCTCCATAAAGCACATTTATGACAATTAGAATTATTTTTTCGGAATGTGGGATAAAATGGATTCACTTCGAAAACATCTGTTAAATAGAGAATTAGCTGAATCTCAAGCACCAATTTAAGAACACCCACCTAAACAGAGAAGTATGTCCGGCGAAGCGGCTTGGCAAACTGCGACCTCTACTTCAACCTGTTCCGTTCAACAGTAAACCATTAATTTCTCGTTGGGATAAAAACAACCCAGAGCGTTTTGTGGCCGAGAAGGCACATCACCAAACTCATTGACCCGGAAGCCACAAAGTATATTCAGTCCTCGTCGCAATGTGTATTAATCTGGTCCATGAGAAAGAAGGTTTATAGACATATGGAGGATTTCGCAAACGATTACTTTGTCCACGAAGCAAGGTCGAACGCTATCACACCGCATGGCTCACAGTTTGGCTCCTTAGTTTACTATTAGTCTACTACGTGCCATAACCATAGAAGAGCGGGTGCAATGGATCGATGTCACGATAAGGCCAACTCGGCCCCACATTCTAATGAATACAGTCGCTCTTTTGTGAAGAACCCGGCATACGCACAGTAGACATTGATATCACAACCATGCCAACTGTAAATAGAGCAGAAACGATTGTAAAGCCGCTGAGCAATGCACGAGCAATGGATAAGAGTCAAACAGGACATTTTCCATTCTCATTTCAGCTTTTCGATCATTAATTTGTTTTCACCTTTTTAACTCTAATCCTCAAGTTTTCGACGAAAAAGTGTAACACCTTTGCACCCAGAGTGCTGGGGTTTCCTGGAGCCCTGACGTCTGCCTAAGGGACGTTAGCCAAGGTAGCCACCCAACAACATCGCAGACTCATGTTTATCTGGCAAAGATTTGCCACCTTGTCA